AATGCATTTAATTTTTGCCTTTTGTACATATCATCACAACAATTGTTCAAAATGTCTTCCTCCAACCTGAATACACCGTTCCTGTGGGGACATGTAAAGTCTTAGGTTTACGAAACTCCAGTAGAAACAGAGCAAGACTTAATTGGACGAATTACAGCAGCATTTGAAATCATTCAAAACGAGTCTCAAATTTTTAGTCAAGTCCGCCGAAATCATGTGCGACGTTTGAATCGGTGTATTCAGGTTGGAGGAAGACATTTTGAACAAGAGGTAAAAATTAAATGCATTAAATCCTATTTAGGCAATTCATCGTCTTTCTAAATTTGAACGCGTCTTAGGGCCGTAGTGCTGCAGTGACACTTTTCCGGATATGGGTCCCTATACTCAAATGTTTTCTACTGTTACACTGTATAACCCCTTAGTTCTGAAACACCCTATATATATATATATATATATATATATATATATATAACATTTATTATGTATTGATTGCATGCAATTGTCTTTGTTAGGTGACCCTATCAAAAAATTCCTTGAATATCACTTTGCTCCATGTATGTATTACCCTGTACAATGCATTGCTATTATCAAGCATCTAGCATGCATCGTAACTGCATCCAACCTTTCAACGTTGAGCATTACAATTTAATAAGCTTACCTTTACGGAGTGCCGATGAGCAGAAGATTGCGAAGTGCCAAACCACAAACCAAGCGTTATTTTGACGAAAACTTCCTTACCTGATTCGCCGAATATACTTTGGACATGGTTTTTCCCTGTTCACATGTGAAAAATTCACCTAAAAATACAGCAAATATGAGAAAAATGCGAATCGATACTTGGGCAGACAGACCGCGGAATGTTCCGGGTGGGTATCCAAGGTAAATAACCGGAGTCCCAGGCAACTAACAACAGAGTGAAAGAAAGAATTAGTGGTTATATAGGCCGTGGTACAAATTATCACCGTTTTATCAAAGGATCTCTATTTGGAGTGATGCCAAGCTTGGCAACATATGGTTAATTGAAATCAAAATCTTTCCAGGATAAGAGCGACTCTATTTTGAGAATGTGGATCCTCGGATATTTAAATTCTATCCCGTATTTGTCCTATGGACACTACTGGCACATGCGCTGGCTTAAAGGAAACCCCCAAATACCCGAAGATTAAACGATTTTTCTAAAACATATTTGAGTGCGAGCAGTGGTGGTGTACTGACTCTCGCAACAGAGGACTGCTGTGAGATTCCGCTTTAATATAATAATAATAAATACGGCTTTATTAAGGTGATATTCAGCCATTGACTACCCTCACATTTAACGCTGTTAAGAAAGTAGATCATACAGGAATTTGGAGAATAAAATATCAAATATCAAAATATTTCTTCTAGGTAAAAGTTTTTCAAATAGATGAGATGGTGCGGAAGTCACTATTAATTTAGGTACAAAGGTGAGGTAGTGTAATTTTACAGTTTTTTAGGCAGCTGTAATATAAGATGTCATAGTAATTGACTAGGATAAGGTTTTTCTAACATTGGTACTAAGAAAGTGTTTGTTTGCGTATAGAATTTTTGATTTTGAATAAGATTTTTGTATAATACTATTGACATATTTATGGAATCTCAAATTTTCATTACGTTGCATCCAGAACTTTTAATCGTTCTGTCAATTCTAAATTGTCGTTTAGTATCCTTATGTAAAGATCTCACCTTATGTGATTATACATATAAGATCTTTGTTGACAAAATAACATTGGATTACAATTACTGGATCTTAATGACAATCTGTCTGACAATACTGTCTATATCTTCATTTATTAAATTTTTTGTTGTTGAGAACTGCATAAGTTAGGTCTGTAAAATGATTTCAGAAATGAAAGAATTACAAATTATCAGGTGACAAAATATCTTCCGTTTTAGAGTGCATCCGATAGACAGCCCAGCATATGACAGAACTTTGAGAGAATGCGAAACCGATCTTTGCTATTGAGCTATAGACCAATTAATGAACACAAAGGGGTAAAATAACTAATAGAAAGTGATTATATTACTTCAGCTGTATTCGTTAACTTTAAGTTCAGACGTCTCACTGTCGTTCAACACTTTCATATTTAAAGACGAAGTTAACTTTGAGATTAATAATTAAGATACTTGAGGCTATGGTCAACTGTTATGGCAGCAGAGGTAGGGGTCTGGGGAATAGCTGAATTTTCTGCGTAATGCGTTCCTTAATTTAATAGCCTAAGCGTTGATATCATTTAAAAAATTAAGCATTTTCTACTAATTTATAGAGGGTGGCCCATCCATGTGTGGACGGAATATTACTCATAAACAATTACATTCTGGGAAAATCCATTTATGGGATGTTATACATGACATTTGAGGGCACATTTCTAAAATATTGGCCATTATACAGGGTGTCCCAATTTTGACCTACATATCAAAGTTGTGATCTTTCAAATAGAATGCCTCAAATTTTATTGCACATTTGGATAAACCAAGTCAAAAGAATAAAATCGATATAACATACTTTGGGATTTTGGTAGTTAGCTACTGAGATATAAGATGCTTTGTCTAGAAAAACCGCCCACTTCGGCAACCCCTCAGTCCGCCATTTTGAAATTTGGAGTGCTTAATTTTTGTACCAAAAAAAAACTTACACACCTCAGCTTTTAACTAATTTCTTACTTTTTCGAATTTTAATTTTTTCTCATACAGGGTGGTCAAAACCGCAAATTGCATATTTGTGCACGTTTGGATTCAATTTTTTATAAGCTTTTTTTTGATACTAGACACATAAGTGTTTTTACGGCTATTTTTTCGGTTATTAGCACGTCTTTTATGGAACGGCTTAATTCCCTAAAATATCGCATCATCCTTGGAAACAAATAAATTGTTGATTAGTTACAAACTGTCAAAATTAGCTTTGGGAGCATTATTTTTAAAAGCGTGTTTGTAAATGAATTTTTCTAAAGAAGAAATGGTGAATATGGTGTTCGTTTAGGGCGAAGTCCAATGAAACAGTTTCCTAACATCTCGCCTTAGATCTTGGCCTCCTAGATCACCAGATATGACACCGATAGACTTCGTTCTATGGGGCTACGTTAAGCAAGAGGTTTATAGATATCTACCATCTGCCCCGAAAAATATAAAGGAAAGGATTAAGGATGCTTTTCTGAACATAAGGAAACACATGCTGAGGGATGTGCGACGGTCATTTATCCATGTATTCAACATGGTGGAAATATTTGCGAGTAGTTTTTGTAGATTAGGTCTTGAGTAGTGATAGTTGTTTGTTTATGCTGTTGTTATAGTTGTGTTTCTCTGTTACGCTTGAAGCTGTTATGATTGTTATTAGTTTTTACGTCAAATCTGAACTCTTAGTGGCAATATGGAACTAGTCCACTGTTTGTCTTTTGTTTCCATGGATGATGTGATTTTTTTCCTTAATTTTGGTGTGTTGTACTATTAAAAGCTTAATAACTCAAAATCTAGTGATTTTATCTGAACCAAACCTTGCACCAAAAAAAAAGCTTATAAAAGATTGAATCCAAACTTGCACAAATATACAGGGTTATGCATTTGAAATTTTTGAGAAAAAGTACAATTCGCGTTTTTGACCACACTGTATGAGCAAAAATGAAAATTAGAAAAAGTAACAAATAATATAAAAGCTGAGGTGTGTAAGTTTTTTTTTATATAAAATTCCGCACTTCAAATTTCAAAATGACGGATTGAGGGGTTGCCGAAGTGGACGGTTTTTCTGGACAAAGCACCTTACATCTCAGTAGCTAATTACCAAAACCACATAGTATGTTATATCAATATACTTCTTTTGAATTGGTTATATGCAATAAAATTTGAGGCATTCCATTTAAAAAATCACAACTTTGATATGTAGGTCAAAATTGGGATACCCTGTATAATTGCCAATACTTTAGATATGTGCCCTCAAATGTCATGTATAACATGCCATAAATAGATTTATCCAAGATGTATTTGCTTATGAGTAATATTCCGTCCACACATGGATGGGCCACCCTGTATATCTATATTATCATTAATTTGTAATAACGTTCCAATCAAAGATGCTACTGGGATCATTTCATCCTAAGCTGCTTTCCGGTGACTCATTTGAATTACTGGTAGTATTTCGGAGTAACTCAGTAGGGCTAAGCTTTAATATCGTTCCACTGTCCTTGCACATTATTTAGAGCAGTTCGGGAGCATATCACTCTAAAAACAAAAACACTGGAAAGCAGCTCTATTGTCTCTTGGATGCACTGTGATCTGACATCTATCAGCTGCTGTTCGATGTCAGTGATGACAGGGCACAGGTGAAAATAATGACGTCATCATAACTGTAGGCCGATCATCCGCAAAAGATGCCCTTAAAACTTTATGAAAAGCGGGGAAAGCCAAATCCTCAAAATTTTATACAAAATAGTGTTAAATATCCAAATTCTACGGTTAAATCGGATTTCCATGGAGGTGACCCCTTTTGCCCCCCACCCCCTTGCGGGCGTTAATGAATTCAACCTATTAGCATCAATTAGCATAATATCCTTTAAATAACTGGTGTTGCTTTATTTTTCGCACATGCTGTGAACTATTCTACATGAAATCATTCAAGCTAAACTCAAAAACAAAGATACCATTCCTTCCCTATTGTTCCTGTTTGAACATCTTCGGTAGCTGTAATTTACAAACGAAATCTGTATTCTTCACTTAATGTGATGAGAATTAACTTTCACCTCATATTCTTTTACATAAATGACTTCCACATCACACATGTTTTTCAAAACAACCTAACCAGCAGACACATCAATTACCCTAAATCCTATGCCCGCCCCGCTTCAGATAACAAACGCTCGCCGACAAAGCAAGTATTGATCAGGGGTGTGCGTTAGTGCCCGGGAGAGATTTGATTGGCCAAGGGGTTGGTCCAGGGATGCTGCAGCCAGCCTCCCCATGTCCTTATCTCGATCGCAGATGCCAGTTGATAACTATTGTCGGTTAGAGCATATCTGCTTGAGATTTTCTTTTTGTCTTTCTTGTGGGTGAGCAAAAATCAGGTGAGCTGATGTTTTAACATTTATAATACTTTCACCAAGTATGTCCAAATTTTGTTAGTGTATTGTTCGGTTACTGATTGGAGTCAGCCTACTTGATGCTATCCTTGCAGAAATTAATGTTTCTCGGGCCCTGAACGTAAATATGAATAGTTTCACTATCTGCAACCTATTTTTACCACTCCAAGATTTAGTTAACATTATTTGTCTTTTGTACTCCGAAAGAAGTATCGTGTTAGCCGAAATGTGAATAACAGCTATCCTTCCACGTAATTGGTTTTAGCCGGCGCAGATGGTTGATTGCTTCTATCTTCCGGTTGTTTGTAATGTTTACTTAGTAATATTGTTCAAAATGCTTCATCAAAACAAAAAATTAACATAAATATAATTGATATATGAAAGTAACCTGAGTAAAAATATGTCGACTTCAACTTCAATCTGTTACGCCATAACTCCATTGTGTATTCGCTTGCTGATATTGGTATGTAGAGAGAAGCTTTTAGTCTGCTCACAGTCTACAATGATCAAAAAGGAGATGGAGAAGTGAATCAGTAAAAAACTCTTAAGTATCCCGAGCATAACGACAGGCAATATGGTTTTGGACATCAACATGATAGTCATAGATAGTCATGTTCGACTTCAGCAAGACATATGACATGGTGAACCTTAGAGCTTTGTATGAAAAACTGCATCATCAGGGTTTGACTGTAATGCCATGCTGTAGTTTAGTAAATACTTGTCTAATATGATAATATTGAAGTATGTACTTTACAAACTATAGAATTTGGTGTTCCACAAGGCCTTATTTAATTTACTTTTTATACTTTGATAAAGCATATATCATCTGATTGGAATGAATATTTGTATGCAGATGTACAAAAGTACTCAAAAAATCATTGTTTGAAGCTCAATCCCTTGAAAACCAAAGCATATTGTGTTGGTTCTAGACTAGCGATTCTGAAGTATAAGAAGTAATTTATACGAATATATTTTTAGCAGGTATTAACATTGACCTTGAAGATACAAAAAATTTGGTAATAGTACTAGATAAGAATCTAAGTTTTGAAAGTCATATTATAAATAAGCTCAGAGTATGTTATTATATATACAAATCGCTGTGGAGATATGAGTATATACGAGGGTGAATCAAATATAAACGAGACCTTCAGGCACAATAGTGGAGGGAGGGAGAACGTTCCCGCTATGTTTGTTGTTGGGTAGGTTTGTCAGGAGTAGAGGAAGTACGTGGGCTCGCCTCCTCGACCTGCTCAGTGTCGACGTGGTGTCCACCGTGACGATGTCAGAGCAAGAGGTACCTCCGTCAATTGCGCAACGTAATGTAATAAAGTTTCTCGTCGCGGAAGACGTAAAACCGGCCGAAATCTTGAGGAGATTGACTGCCCAGTTCAGGGAAGAGACACTGCGCGAGTGTTTGCATGGCATAAACAGTTCGTGGAGGGTCGTGATCGTGTTGAAAATGAGAGCCATGACCGCAGACCTCGCACCAGCATTACAGCCAACAACATCAGCACATCAGCAGTGTTCGACGGCTTATTGAAGATGACAGACGTCGTACCACTTCTGAAATCGCAAGTGAGGTCTAGATAAGTTATGGGATCACTTACTCCATACTCACTGAGGAGCTAGTGTACCGAAAGATGTGCGCCAGGTGGGTTCCTCGCCTTCTCACAGCTGATCAGAAACTGCATCATCTTCAGGTGTGTGGGCGTCTTCTTGCACGATTTCAGGAACAAAGAGACCAATTTCTCACTCACATTATCACCTGTGATGAAACATGGGTGCACCACTACACCCCAGAGTCTAAACAAGCGAGTATGGAGTGCAGAAAACCAGGAGAACATGGACCAGTGAAAGCCAAGTCACGTTTGTCGGCTGGCAAGGTTTTGGTTACCGTTTTTTTTTACCAGTGTGGATTGCTGTATCTCGATTTTTTGTACGAGCGCAGAACAATTAATGCGGCCTACTACTGCGACGTTTTGAGTGAGGTCCGACTTGCATATCGCCGCAAAAGACGAGACCTATCGATCAGGGACTTCTACTCCATAACAATGCTCGCCCCCCATACAGCAGCCTTGACTAGGGAAAAATTGGAGCAGCTGGGGTGGCAAACATTGGGACACCCCCCTTAGAGTCCAGACCTGTCACCCTGTGACTTTCATGTGTTTGGCCCTCTCAAGGAAGCTTTGGGAGGCCAAAGATTCGATAGTGATGCTGAGGTTGAAGCCTACGTGCGCAATTGGCTGCAGACGCGACCTGCATCTTTCTACGTGGAAGGAATTGGAAAGCTGCGTATCCGCTGGGAAAAATGTGTTTCCAAATCAGGAGATTATGTAGAAAAATAAACTATATTCTTTTTTGCCTTTAAAATAAAAATAAATTACAAAAAAAAGTCTCGTTTATATTTGATTCACCCTCGTATTAACAAGTGATATCAAACTAAAACTCGTTACTGCATTAATCCTTAAACAGTTAGATTATTTTAGTGCTATATATTAGATACCGAAGAAATGAAACAAAAAAAATCAAGTTTGACAAAACCATTGTATGAGGTTTTGTTTCAATAAGACAAATAGACGCAAACACATGACAGAGTTAATACATAATAGTAAGGGAAAATGTTTCTATGCTGCTCTACTATTTAGGGTTTTACAATATGAATCTCAGAAATAAATTTTCGACGCTTTAGAGAAAGATCTTAACTCCATCAACTGTTCCCTGTAATGAATATTGTTATAATATACCAGCCCACACTACCTCAAAATTTAAAAAATGCTTCTATGACAGCGCCCAGTATACTGAATGAATACCCAAATTTTCTTGAATTAAAGTCCATTCACAGCGTCAAAAGACAATTCAAAATAATGCTGGTACAGTTACAATCTACTGAATCTACAAGTGGTTGAACAGATCTCATTATGAATATTATCTTTTAAAATTTTGTTGATATTATAATTGTCAGCCACATAATGCTCTTATATGTTATATACAGGGTGACTTTGAAGTTGAGTCATTAATTTTCAGATAATGATTGTAGAAGGAAGATAAACCAAAATATGTGTGTAAAAATAAAAAAAAAATAAAAAAATTTTTTACCTTGTTTTATAAAGTATCCTCCCGACAAGTATTTCAGTGCGGACCTGTATTTGATCGTGAGGTCCCCTGTGAGGTCTGAAGTCACCTGATTCACGAGCCCGTTGTACTACATTAACAAAGGCACGAGGGGTTGGTTGCACTCGATTGGGAAACCGATCCGCATAAACATGTGCCATGTTTTATTTCGTTTGAGCCACGCAACAGACACTATTCACACGCGACTGTATGTATAACTGAACTGAATAAAATCAACATCGTTCCAAATTCTTTCGCTTTTTTGTTTCCGATGCGATGAACCGATAAGATGGACTATATCCGTTGTTGCCAAACACGAGTACATGATATTATTGAGACAGGGCGGTACTCAAACTTCCAAAGGGCTATAACTTTGTTCCTTTAATTTTACCAGAAAAATGGTAAAGGAAAAAAACATTTCTTTTGATCAGATCTACTCACTGTTAAAATAAATGACTCAACTTCGAAGTCACCCTGTATATATGATATGCCCTACTAAGTTTTAATATTACGTTTAATGAATCATTTTATTTACATTAGCTACACAGGTCGGGGTGAAAAATGGCTACGCCTTTTGGAGCATTAGTTTTTGTATTCTATTGTTTACCCATATTTTGATTCTATTATGCATGAATACTCCAATAAGCATTATTATTAGTATTCTTATTATTGTTATTATTATTATAGCATTCAGTTTACATCATAGTAGTATGAAGCAATCTTAATCATACCTACTAATCGGCTCATGTGTCATTGCACATAATATTACAGAAGTTCAGTAAGATATCTACCTTAATCCCATAATCTGAATATCGTATAGATTGATGATTCTAAGATACAATACTGTAACTTGCTGAATCTTTGACTTGCACAGCTATATTACGTATTTCAACCAATTCGCTCCTGAATAAAATAGATTATTTGTTAGAACTTTGATCGCCCGTCCACGTCTTTGTTCGTCATCAAGCCTGTTGCAACCAAATATTTCTCCAAAAACACTCCAGCGAAACCTAAAGCAACACCGACTATGAGAGCTGTAATTTTGAGCTTACTTTCACATGTTTTAGGTCTACTGATAGAAAGTGATTAAAATTTTAAATCGAAATTTCGCAAAATAGCTGAGATATCCCACCATAATGTTAATAATGTGTTGAAGCTACACGTTCGTTAAGTCGTCGCGGCATTGATTAGATTAGGCGATTGATGTCTTCTTGGTGCATTGTATCCCAGGCTATCTGAATTTGGTTTCGTAGAGCGTCCATGTTTGTGAAGGGTGTGGTGAACTTTCAACATTCTTCGCATCATATCCCATACATGTTCGATGTTCTAAACTAACCCGTGCGACATGAGGTGCATTGTCCTTCTGAAAAAGTTGATCTTGCAATGTTTCCAAAAAGGGAAGCAGATGTGGTTGTAAATGCTTCAACATTTTATCAGCGCATCGATAGCAAATATGTTTACAAGCTTTAAACAAACTTCAATTAATAATTTTTATGTCACTTGTCACTTAGTATGTTTTAGTGATTCCCTTGACAAAATTTGAAAGCAGAACCCTCATTTACTCTATTTGCCCTACGCATTCTGCTTCTACCATATGCACTTCACAAATGACCAGATCCCCGTTTCCAATTTTTTCGTAGATTTTCGTCACGCATCCGCTCAATCAAATCACAATAATCGCAACAATTTTTCGGTCGCTGGTTCGCTGCCTTAATCGTATTATCCTTGTTGTTTGCATGATTGATAACTGGCTAATTCGGAGGCGATAACCAAGGCCACGCGTTTCCGGTGATCCCTTAGGACCATCCATCGGTCCCCCAGGAGGACGCGTAAAAATACTAGTCGATACGGTCGTAGGGACATACGAAGAAATT